TCTTAGACTGGTTTAAAATTAGTCTGCAGCTTTATGCCTCCTTCCTTCTACACCAGTCATCTCCTCCGAGCTGCATTTAAAAATGCAGATCATGAATGCTATTAGGCAGGGCCTTAAAATGCTTCAGTATTAACAGAGGTGGATCATGCAGTCAGCAGAAAATATCAGCCGTGGATGCAAGGGGAGGGTGTGCATTCCAGCTGCAGGCTGGTAACAAAACTGAGATGCAAATAAAGGGTTTTTTTAATGCAATCTCTAAAGTAAACTATACAAAATAAAAACTGCTCTTAGAAGATTTTTATTTATACTTTCAGGCACTTACACAAAAGCAGGCCATATGTTTTATCCTGTTAGCTCCTTCAAGATCCTCTCTTATATCATGTTTGGTTTGGCCGTAAGAAATCACTGTAGCGTTTCCTTGTTGGCCAAGGAGGCACTGTGGATGCCGAAATATTGCTTTTGCCAAAAGTACATTTTTAAAAGCTTCTCAGCAGAAAACAGAGCAAGCTAATGAGAAATTAAGGAAAACAGAATGTGTCCACTCACAAACTGCAATGACAAAATTCAGCTTGAGACGACCTCCAAGTCAGCTGCGCAATTAGCAATTCTTAACAGACTTCAAATGGAAGGAAAAAAAAATTACAAGGCAAAGTCACTTAAGACCAAGCTTACACTGAACACGCTGTTCCGAAAACAACGTGGGGGGCTTTTTGGTTCATCAGCAGGACTGAAGACACCACTTGAACTCCATTGCACTGCGTTATGATTGTGACACACGCCGTAACACACACAGGTCAAAGCGCGCAGGTGGCTACGGTAACTGTACGTATCTGCTAAGCAAGAGTCCAGGCCTCCGTTTTGGGTAGAAGGGATGCATTAACACAACTGGACTTTTACATGATTTTACAGTCCGAGGTTGCAATCTCCCCATTATTCCACCACTGAATCACTTTGTTCCACTTATGCAGAACCCAACCTAATATCTTCAGGCTCTGCCAGGCACTTTTAGGGGGCAGAAAGTTAAAGTCTCATCTGCTAACAAGATCAGTCTAAGTAGCTCAAGCCCTGATTTAAAGTTGGTTTCAAACGCCTATCCCTGTCATAAAGGCCAAGGGAAAACACCACCAAACCAAACCCCCCAGCTTCCTGTGACAGCAAACACAGAACAAATGCATTTTCAGTTTGTACGCCTCAGCGTTTGCCAGTGCTTTGCATACAGTTTGCACCAAAGACTCCATTTCAGATTGATGCATGAATTATCTGGAGGATCTTCCTTCAGGGTCTGCATGAAAGTACCTACTTACAATAGCAGAAGCACAAACTGCAGAGGCACCTGCATGCAAAGAGACAACTGCCTGGGCAACTCAAGAACATACCGTTACAAGGTTTTCAAGCCTACTCGGAAAACTAATTCTGAACATCACCAGAAAATGAGAATCCTAACCTATGCCATTTAAACACTTGCTTTTAATTACTTCCCTTTAAAACTCCATTAATTTAAAAGTAAATCAACGCGGTAACTTCAAGTATCTCCGATAAGAGTTCAACTACCACAGGCAGGTCTGATAGGCTACGACTTAACAACGCAGAGGAGTAGAAAACCAGTGAGAATGGAAAAGTGAAGCTGGGAGAGAAGCCCAGAGTCCTGCTCATTTCACAGGCACGTGTCACTAGCACTGACACTCGTCTTCACACTTCTGCTGTAACAGTGGAGTGTTTTGCTGAATGGTAAGGAGATGAGAGCTGGTGAGGAAAGGGGCACTGCAAACTTCAATGAATACAGTTGCATCAAAATAGAAATATCTGAATTCAGACATTAAAGAGAAGTTATCTTATATCATCCAGGGAGAAAAAAAAAAGACCTTAGGGATGAAAGAGAGAATGATACTGGTATATGACCCATATAACCTCAATTGAAGAAACAGGAGTATGCGTGAGACACGTTCAACTCTGAAGCTGCCCCCTGGCTGTGTTCCCATCAGCCTGTTTCTAGCAGAGCTAAGCACTGTCTATGCTCATCAGTCCACTGACACGTAGCAGGCTGCTGTCAACTGTGACTCTTCATGTGACCCAGGCACCTTGAAAACGTGTCTGATCACAAATCAGGACGTGGATCCTGTTAATGGAGCTCAACAGACAGCCAAATCGGAGGCGTCTCACTAAAGCAATCTTTTACTGCCCTGTAGTCGCACTAAAGTCCTGAAAACCAGATAAAATTTTACTAAGCGAGCAAAAGGTGCTAGAGCCTACAATAAAATGAGTTAAAGACTTGGTAAGTTCACTGGAAAAAATCTGGGAAGTGCTTTTAACAACTGTTCCAGATAAAACAGTCAATAGCCATCCTGTTAAAAGCCACACCCACATACACGTTGCAATATAAGAATAAATTCAAGTTTACCTGAGATACATAACCCGGAGGCACAAATATAGGCGGCATAGAACCATTTGGTGACATCATAGGAACATGTGCTGGACCTGGGAAGGAACAAGGTGCCATTTTTTAACAAACAAGGCTTTTACAAACTCGAGGTACCTTTTTGTCAAAGGCGGAGGCTCACGCTGGTGTCTGAACAGTCATCAACTGCATCCAACTCTGTATTTATGGAACTACTTTTAGACAAGCAGATTTAGAAGCAAGGATTAAACATTCCAATTGGAAAGTCAGTTAGGAGAGAAACTTAATCAAGACTGTGAGGTGAAAAAAATAAAAGTGACTGTACCATGTTTCCATCAGGAAAAATGATGCAATTTATGTCACCGATGGGTAACTCACATTCAAAATACACACGATTTTACAACCGTCAGGATGCATTCAGAATTTTAGATAATATTGCTGAATGCAGGTATGGCTGTACATTTATTCTACAGAAAGCACAGATTAGATTTATCCCAATGACCAACAGTATTTCTTTAATTGTACAAAAATCAGCATAGATAAATTTTAGTTCAAAAAAATAAGAACACACTATTTTCCACATCCAGCTAAAAGAAAGTATTCCTGTCTGGGATTTGATGAAAGCAGAATGGACACATTTTATATAATGTCATTTGGAATGGTGAAAAATGCTCCCAAAATGGAAGTACTGATAAATTCAACGTGACTTACAGGAGCTATTTTGACCCGACTCAGATTTGCAGTTCTATCGCTTACCCAGAAGGTAAAAAGCAGTTTGTAGCCCCACAGAGAGGGTAGCAAAGCTTCCCACAAGGTCAGCTAATGCCACTACCTTACAGTAAAGCGAGGTCACCCAGCGCCTATTAACATTGCTGAGGCTACTCCAGACTAAATGCCATGTAATTCATGCGTTAAGATTCTGAAGACAGTTATCCAAGGATCATTACAAACACAGCCGAGATGCCAGCCTTTTATCAATCAGCAGCAGAGATGCAGGGAATCTTGGCAGTTTCCCCGTGCTGCCTCATTTATGCTTTAAGTACAAAGTGAAAAATCTGGTTGATTACACTGCATAACATAAAAACACATTTGACATTACAGAAACAAATACTGGTAGCAATTTTGTGGTATTTGGAGAATCAAGATATTTGGATTCGGTACTTCAGTTTGTCCTTTACCTTGAATACACTGAATGTGTCCATCTTCAGTTGTAATTGTAAATGTTTCACCTGGGTTTACCTGTACAAGAATAACCTGTAGAAAGTAAAACACAAAAGAGGAGTTTGGGTTTTTTTTAATTTAAATTTCTAAGCTTTTCTTTTCAGTATTTTCACACTGCTTTTTTCTTCTTTTACTGAAACAATGAATTACCTTACTTTCCAAGCTTTGCCCATGAGATTATTTCAGTTTCAGGGCTAAACTGGCAAAATCAGGACTATAAACACACGTTAAAAAACACGTTTTGCCCAAAAAACTCAGCCATGTTTTTCCACTGAAATCATGCTGGTATGTAGTTTGACAGTATTAAGTTACTTGATAGCATCGGAGGAGATAAAGTGTGCGGTCCTTTGGGGGTGGAAGGAGGACAGAAGAGGTGATAAAGCAGGTCATGCCTACCACCTCTGCTTTACAGCTCCTGGAAAAGCAGGTCTGTCTTCTCACATGCTTGTGTAATCCTGTAGCTATCGAAACACCGCTCACAGTGAGATTCTGCAGGTCCGTTTGGACAGGATCACATACACTATCACATCAGTTCATGTGCACGTGTGCCAGAACAGTTCCTCAGGCAGCCTACAGCATCGTTTCCCTCGTGCTGGGTAACACAAACGATCACCTCATTGTACCCCACTCACAGCACGTGCTTTGGTTTTATTGTAAGGTGACATTACTATAAGAATTTTGCAGTGAGATCCTACTGTATTCCATACGCAGAGGTCTGATTCTTTAGTAAAATGAGGGGTTTGGCCATGAAAGAACTGCACAGTTACACAGTCAAACTTCCACCCTGGTGACAGCTAGCACAGAAAGAAGAAAGGCCAGTGTAAAAGTTTAAATAAAATATATTTGTAAAACTAGCTATGAAACTCAAAAAGTGTAATTTTCTTTCATTCAATTTTTACAAAATATTTAATACTATCCATGGAATGACAATTATATCCAACAGACATGACCTGAAGAGATCACCATGTTATCTAGCCCCTGGTAAAAATGAACTACACGTGACATTTATGAACAAGGCTGTCTATTCTGTGCTGCTGCATCTCCAGTGATGGACTCCCCAGGCGTCTGCACCACAGTTACACTGCCCTCATCACTGCAGATTTCATCATCTCACTTCAACATCCCCTGCTTCAACCTAACCCTTACTCCACGTCTCAACCACCAGCAAAATAAAGAATAAAGCAGCAATGAAAAAAGACTGGTTTTTAGATGCCACACCCTGTATATAAATCCTTTGGGGAATTTTATCCATTCCTTGGCAGACTTTTTTCTCACAGAGCACTACTAAACAGTCATTCCTTATAAGCTGATTAGTCCACCTAAACATAGTACTTTGTACTTGCTCCTAATTTTCTAGATTATCATTTTAGTAATAAAAATAATTTCAGGCTTCCAAGATACTTGCAATTCCTCCCATTTCATATTGGCTGCAGATTTATCTAGCACACCTGCATTCTATTATATTAGTCATTAATAAAAAGATCACCAAAGAGAATGAGACTTAAAAAGACCTTGTGGTCCCTCGTTCATTCTTTGCATTTTTACCAGCTCCACTAGCTTCCAGTACCTGAAGGGGCTACAAGGAAGCTGGGGGGGACTTTTTACAAGGGCCTGTAGTGACAGGACAAGGGGTAACGGGTTTAAATTGAAAGTGGGGAGGTTTAGATTAGATATCAGGAAGAAGTTCTTCCCGGAGAGGGTGGGGAGGCACTGGGACAGGTTGCCCAGAGAAGCTGTGGATGCCCCATCCCTGGAAGTGTTCAAGGCCAGGCTGGATGAGGCTTTGAGCAACCTGGTCTAGTGGAAGGTGTCCCTGCCCATGGCAGGGGGGTTGGAACTGGGTGATCTTTAAGGTCCCTTTCAAGCCAAACCATTCTATGATTCTACTCCTTCCCAAAGCATTTGCCAAGCATCTCATGCCGGCTTTAACCAAAGCACATTTCTCCAGCTAAAACAAAATAAGTGCAAAGACACCCAAGTTTCCCCAAGTTGCAGCTTACGCCTCCCGCTTCCCTCTCCCTCTACTCTTTGGGCGTGCAACTTCTGCACGGAAGGAGACCGAGGGCTGCACAGGTCTGTTCCGTTTACACCACTGTGTGTACGGCAAGGCTCAAAGGAGCAGCCCGCTAACACCGATCCTGCAGCTTCTGCATATTGCTCTGTTAATCTTAGCTTTCATTTTTCAACTGGGGATGCAGAAGCATATATGAAGACAGACCCTGCTCCAGTGAGTTCACAACAGAGACTAATTTTACTTTAGGTAGCTGAGTTGCTTCTGGACATAAGTAAAACACCAAAACCCCCTGAAAAGGCCACTTAGCCAGTCAGGAATATTTATTACAGTTACACGAGAAGGACAGATAGCAGATAATTCTTTTAAAAATGGCCTAATTAAAACACTGAAACATAAGCAGATCTGCCAGTATAAAAGTAAATTTATGACTACACTCTACTGAACTTCTAGGAGTCGAGAGGGAGAAGTACTGTTACTTGTTTACAGAAAACAGACAAGAATGGGCGGGTATGGTCAGAGCACAAAGGAGGAGGAAGGGTTCTGCTGCCAGCAGCAGCTGGGGAAGGACACTGGGGGGGACAGGACTCTCTGGGCAGGTATTAAACCTCACAGCAAGGCTCATCTTGGAGCAAGAAAACAGCAGAGGCAGGAAAGGGATCCTTTTAGAAATTTAGAGCCTCAGATCTTCAGAACAGGTTTCAATTAACTCAAGTTCTCACAAACAGTTCAGGAAACTATTAACTGAACTCAGGGAAAAGGATCACAAGTTAGTGGTGTAATCACAGGGCTGTAGAGCAGTTCAGAGACTGGAATTTCAGGAATGCATGGGGCAATGTCTTAGAGGAATGACTCACTGTAGTTAATGAAGCCAAAGCAGTTCCAGCTACCTTCCACCAAAGAAAATTTCCAGGAAGCGTGAGTGTTTCTAACCAGTCTAAGCCCAGTGAAACACTAGTGCGAGGAGTCACAGGTATGTCACGCGTCACGCACAACCGTTTCAGAACTAGTGGGATCGAGCTATTTCAAAGCACTGGGCAGTGTTTTGCTTTTATCCCTTATTCAGAGACTCGCCGTTGCTGAAGCCTTTTCAGAACAAGAAACCATTCCAGAAAACTTTCAACTTCATGTGAAACCAACCTAATGAGCTGGGTGCTGTATCTGACTGCAGCAATTGGCCAAACAGCACAAGTCTTATTTCTGAAGACAAAATACTCTCTAATTAGCCGATCCTCTATGGCACAGGAAGCAAAATATAAAGTATTTTTATCATCTGCGTGAATAAAGCTCCTAAGGTGACACTCTATTTAATACTCTGTTTAAACTTTCCAGCATGAGACTGTAGCTCAGAAGTCTCCCTACAGAGAAGTGCCACAAACAAGAGCAGCGAGTGTCCGTGTCAGGCGACCAAAGGGTGGCAGCGTGACATGGTTGTTTATACACAGACACACTAGAGTAAGAAATACTGGAAAAAATTAACAGGGAATCACATTCCTGGTCCCATGAAGATTTTCACTAGACAGACTTACTCATTTTTTCCAATATAATTCAGTTACAAGTCTTGGACACTATTCAGCCTTCAAGTCTACTCTTCAAACATCATGTTCCCACGTATTTCCAATATACAACTGTTGTTTATTTTTAACCTCACCTGATAGCAAACAGTCTCCACGAGGTTCCAAAAATTTCAATGACTGCCACCTTCTTTTGTGTCGTTCAACACACACTAGTATTCTACACACTGATCTACACCAAGGCACGCTGTACACATACAGCTATGGAGATGGTCTCCAACTACATCTACTTGATCTCTTTTCCTTGTGGAACACTACGTACGGAATAACCTCACAGCTGGTCAGTGTCTAAGGTTTCACATTGCTAATGCTAGAACTGCAGAACTAGCTTAGAGACTCCATAGCTTTACTCACTTCAAAACAGTCACCATACTTTTCTCTCCAGAGTGTGAGGGAAAAAAACACAGCAGAGTAGAATCATAGAAACATAGAATGGTTTGGGTTGGAAGGGACCTTAAAGATCACCCAGTTCCAACCCCCCTGCCATGGGCAGGGACACCTTCCACTAGACCAGGTTGCTCCAAGCCTCATCCAGCCTGGCCTTGGACACTTCCAGGGATGGGGCATCCACAGCTTCTCTGGGCAACCTGCCCAGTGCTTCATCACCCTCTCCGTGAAGAATTTCTTCCTGATATCTAATCTAAACCTCCCTGATTTCAATTTGTACCCATTACCCCTTGTCCTGTCACTACAGGCCCTTGTAAAAAGTCCATCCCCAGAATCCTTGTAGCCCCTTCAAGCACTGGAAGGCTGCAATAAGGCCTCCCCGAAGCCTTCTCTTCTCCAAGCTGAACACCTCGAATTCTCTCAGCACTCTGAGCATCTTCGTGGTCTCCCCTGGACTCGCTCCAACCGGTCTATATCCTTCTGATGTTGAGGGTTCCACAGCTGGACGCAGCACTCCAGGTGGGGTCTCACAAGAGCAGAGTAGACTTTTTTTCAAAAAAAAAGGCTATTTTTACAAACAAGGGTACTACAATCCTTCCCCATCTGTAACAATCACAAAGTAAAGGATAGCTCATTTAAAACTTTTCAGCATTCATGGTCTATCAGACCCTCAACAACTCACAATTTTGTTGTTGTGCCCTGTTTACCCACTGTACATTCAAACAAGCCAAGATCTTCACTGTTACCCTTCATAATCGTTTCATACCACAGTTATCCTCACGGAAACTTTAATGCGACTTTTCTCTATGGATTGACCCCTTCCTTCCTATTTCAGTTACCATCAGACACTTGAAGGTAGTATATACTGATCAGGCTAAAGCAACATGCAGTTTTGTCCCTTGCTTCAACAACATAATTATTTAACCCTGGGCACACAGAGCTTTCAAATTTGTGTTTTATCATCACAGAATCGTACAACAGCCCAGGTTGGAAGGGCCCTGGAGAGATCACACGGTCCACCCTTTCATGGGGAATGGAGCCTTGATGAGATTATCTAGCACCCTGTCGAATCGCCACTGGTCAACGAGCAGCTACACAGCTATTTGAAACCAACAAAGCAACCAACCTTTTCTCTCCTACCAGGATCCGTCATGTTTGTAGCTGCTAGGCCAGGGGGACAATGCTTCTTAAATTAAGATACAGTGTTAAAATGCCTGTGATATTTCTGAGGGCACTGAAAGTCTATCTCCAAATGACGGGAAGATACCTCAGCGTTTATACTACAAGACATTCAGCTTCGACTGCCAAACAGTAAATCCACTTCACGTTTACAGACAATTCCTACAAGTCTGTGCTTCAGATGGTTTAGTTTTCATTTTTGTCTTTACTGCTTATCATACTAGGTACTTCTGAAGGGTTGTGTACAATAACATTCTAAAGTTTCAACTGAATATACTCAGGTTTCACCACTTCACTGTAATTATTAACGAAGATACTTAATATCCAGAAGCCAAGGTCTTTTTCCTCTTATTTCCCTGCAACAGACTTCTCTGTTTCAAGCAACCACTTGCTAATCTTCACTGATCATTTTACATGAGCTTTAAAATGACATTTCAAAACCTTAGTGCTTTATTAAATCCCTATATTTTTCTTTTCATTCTTTGATTTTGTGGTTTTAATTTTAAAGCACTTACATGCATATAACAAACATTCCTTTTAGCCTGCAACCTTGTCATGTTTCCACTATATTAATGGAATTAATGGAATTATTTTCTTCTCATCAGTAAAAGAGAAGCACAGATACAGAGAGGATCAGTGCTGAGAACGACATGCTTTTCAAACTTTGCAAATCAGCATCATAGTTGCTTTATTTCAAGCCTCCTGCCCTTTCAGCCATCATACAAGTTGTACAACAGTTTGTCTATGGTTGAACTCAACCTCCCTGCTACCACTGCTGGCAGAGCTTTACACAACCTGCATCATGGAAGCGCGAGGGATTTACTTGCCTGTTGGATGCTGTCCCCATTAACCATATGAGGTAGAAGTGGCACTTCATTCAATATAGGCGTCGCTTCTAATGGGGGCGGCTGGTCGGCCATCATGTCTGAAAACCATTCATGGACAACTGCTCACGGGAACCACCTGCTAAACCAAAAAGAGAGCCAGTATTAGATACATCTGTCTCCTCCACCAAGTAATTCTCTACTTCGTTTGCCAACCTCGGTACCAATGTTTCAGAAGAAAAATGCAGCTGTGCCTTCAGGGAATTGGTTTGTGGAGAAGAAAACAACACAAAAATAAATCCAAGCACTTGTGCTATGATACTATCTGAATCCTTCAGTAACAGCAATTTCACACCATTTGAAACCTCAACAGGAAAATATCAGAGTTCAACACTCCCTCAAAGATTTTGAAATTAACTTTTGTCTCCAATTAAACTCAGTTTATATAAAACATCCTCTTCTGGCTTCACTGCACATTTATAAACTTGTACAAACTGAGAGTCTTAAAAAGCATGGAGGGAGGAGATCACATCACATATCCAAGATCATCCAGTTCCAACCCCCCTGCCATGGGCAGGGACACCTTCCACTAGACCAGGCTGCTCAAATTCTTAAATTTGTAGTTACAAATTCTAAGTTCCAAGTCTTATGCCAAATAATTCACATGCAGCATGTACACACATGCAGACTGTGATGGTCAACCCCAAACCGTGCGACTTCTCCAATGTTGCAATCCATCACCAATACAGAAGTCTGACACAGTGAAAACAAAGATGAAGGCAACACAAGAGAGTAGAGTACTTGGTACTCAGTTAAAGACTTTCGTACCATAGAGAACTGCATGTGGAGAAAGCGCGCCATGGTTTTGGGCTTCTAGGGAATAATCTGTAATTACAGTAAGTCAAAATACAATCCAAATGTTAGTGAATTTTCAGTGCACAGTTAATTCAGCATCCATAAAAAGCCCAAGATAACAGGATACAGGAAATGCTGACATTTCCTTCTCCCTTCCCATTACCTCCTATAAACCCAGACAGAAGACAAAATGCAGTTAGGGTAGTCCAATTCATTAAATTAAAAATAAAAAGCAAAATCGAAACAAAGCCCACTGCCCACTGCCAAATCTGTGCATGAACAAGGTCAGTCTATGCACAATGCCAAATCCTTGTTCAGTTCTCTATAAGCAGTATGGAAATGACAGTGATTGGGGGGGAGAAATAATTTCTTCCGGCATTAACTCATTTTGTTGAGAAAGAGTCTAATAAAAGCTGAGATTACAAGGATTTCTCCTGCACTGCCATTACACAGTGAAGAGGCTGGTAGCATTCACTGGTAAAAAACCCATTAATTCTCGTTTGCAAAAGCTTGTCAAAGTAACTGAGAGAATCACACAGCCACAAAATACAGCGTAACAAAACACCCAAGACTGCCAAAGAAACCAGCTCATTCTGCATACCACTTGTTTTCCGGGTCTGCTCCAGGAACAACTTTAAGAGGCCAAGTATGACTGCACAGGTGCAAGGGCTAGACACCACCTCCAAAGTTTAAATTTGTATCAGGTTTGTCCTAAAAATACTTCCCTACCTTAGCATGTTGTTTATTTCCTTAATAATCTTCCTTCCTGTTTGCCAGAAAGAAACAAACTGATTGTGTATAGCTATTCCACTTAAAAATACTTGCATGGTAACACTGCCAGTCAGTATGTTAGGACGGAGGCCAAAGTTTCTCCCACTACACCTCTCATTTTTAGAGGTTGAGAGGTTAAATCTGCAATAGGAATTCAGAAGACACAGGCAGTTGAAAGTACTTCGGTTTATATATGCCTATAGTCTCCATTTCTTTCATCTGAGAACCTCAAAGGCGACAGAAATTAGCACTTAACATAAAGGAAAAAACCCTTTACCAAAAGACAACTACATCTGCATTCAAATGTTCAACTAACCAAAATAACCAGCCGTAGAAAAACGCGTTCTGAAACAAGTGCCAATACCACCTGCAATTTTAAATAAACGTTCAGAAAGTTTCTATCCTCGTCTCCTACGCTGGCTAAATAGAATTCTCTGAGGCTTTGTCTACATCAGCGAGCAGCAGAGTGTAGTTAGCACAAATTGTAGAGTGCAGCACCAGCATCCACATGGTTTTTAGAATCCTTAATCTAACGCCTAATAACACAGGTATTTACATTTACACCTACACACACACATTCTACTTGCTCAGTGCTGTAACTTCACATTTTTCAGAGGAAGAACTTAACACGTGGAGTATGAGGAAACAACTGTTCTTATACAGTCAATGACAACCTCCAAAAATAGCAAATGCAGTTTCATGTTTTAGTGAGAATCTCCATACAGCTGGAGAAGATAGCAGTACTCGCATAAACGAAACCATTATAGTAACTCCTGGGCAGCTTCACCTGGCTCAGAACGCCAACGTTTTACTGTACAGCTGGGCTCAGAGGGCTGCGAGCGGCAGAACACCAACAGCAAGTAGGAACGTCCCACTGCACACTGACAGACTTGCAAAAACCAAGTTTTTGGTTTTAGAGCGCAGCAAAACCACTGCTGCTCTCAAAGGTAGCAGCTCTGCTGGTAAACGAGCACGGGACTCAACTCTCCCCAGCTGAGTAAGGTAAACCTTGTCACGGGAAGTAAAGCACTCCCACTGAACATGGGTTCACCTTCCAAAACTCTCCATTTCATTCAAGGAAGTAGGTGGTATTTGGGTAAATAAAAAGAGAATTCCTGAAAAGTTATTACACACTCAGCACAATTTCCTGAAAAACAAAGAAATAGAGATCTTTCTTGCAAAGCCATTCCCCACACCCTCCTACCACCAGTCCAAGGCATCCAGCCCTGCCGCCCGCCAGCTCAGCCCCGGGACTCTCGCCACCAAAGGCGGTGGCAGGGTAGGCGATGCAGCACGGCTGCTGCCAGGGAGGAAGACAGCTTCCAAAGAAAAGGTGAAGGGCAACCACTGCGTGGGGAGAGAGGGGATTTAGTGATCCTGAACCCACCTCCATCCACAACTCCCACAGTCAAAGTCCTACTAAGTCTCACCGCTTCCCTCAAACGCTGTCACTGACGCCTGGCATTCTCTGAATCCACCGTTTTACCCCAAAAACGAGTTAGCTTGGACAGCAAAACCAGCTGGTGAGTTGTACACGGCTCAGAAAGAACAACCTACCTACAGGCAGAACTGCATGAAAAAGTTTCTTGGGTCCCTTAAGGTTAGTTTGTTCTATCCCATGCTTGGTAATAAAGAATCCAGGGGCTGTTTCATCATCACTACTGACTACCCAAGTGCTCAGGGCACAAGATGAAGAAAAAAGTGTTTGCACTAAGAATTCACTGGCTGCACTGACATTAAAGAGGAATTAATGCTCAAAATTTTGAAATCTAGACTAAAACTAAACAAGAAAAAGCCCATCTGCAAGCATTAGAGACTAGGCAGATTTTCCAGGCTTCAGAGTTGCAAAGGAATATACAAAGAATTAGTGAATCATTATATATTAATCAATAGCCGAATTTGTAGAGGCATGTTCTGGGGTTCTGTCACCACGCACTGGAGATTCCTGAGTCAGTATGGAAAACAGGTTAATTTTTAGAAAGGTTACATTTTGCAAGGGTACTTCTGGCCTGATTCATTTCTTTACAGTGGTTTCTATTAGACATCAGCAAAAGGTTAGTCCCAAACCTCGTTTGAGCCGAAGGCTGAATTCGGCCCATACAGCATGAGACACATTATATTCCTTTTTTTTTTTTTTTTAAAGAATTGGGACTAACTACCCCAGAAACAGACCTCCTGAAGCACTGTCTTCACAAGGCTGAAAGCAGTAGATTACCGAATTTCTAACCAAACAGAAATCTATACTGCAAACAGCCTGAGCTACTGCTTTCACAGACTGTTAAGACACATGCATCTAAAACACTGAAATACTCTGTCGTTTATTTTACAACATTTAAAAAAAGTATTTCAAAGCAAATAAAACCAGTTCACATTTTAAAAATGTACCCTGAGAAGCGTTCCTGAGTTAATTCAGCACTGTGCTAATGTAACATGGTTTATCACGTTAGCCATATTAACAATAAAAAGGCAATATTTTCCACTGACAGCCTCACACTACAAAGGCTTCTAAGAAAAACAGAAAATCTAAATGACTAGCCTTCCAGCAAACAATTACAGTACACAGCGGCTGGGCCTGACCTCACTTCCTGACATAGTAAAAACGCCGAGACTCTGGAAGCTTGAAACATTGGCCTTCCCTTTTCTCCAGCCCAAATTCTTCTCAACCAGTGCTGCAGTCATCCTGGACTCCGTCCAGCTCCGAGGATTCGCACTGAACTCAGTGTTCATTGATTCATGCCTAGTCCCGTCTGAAGTCAGCGCCTCAGCCGAGCACGCCGGGCTCTTATTTACATACAAACCCGCTATTATGCTCCCGATACAGAACCAGCGAAGGGAGCGCACCGAAGTCTGTATGATACCAGACCATCGTTCCTTACGTCTGGAAAACATCAGGGATTCTCGTGAGGTATGTTGAAATTAAAATCTAAAATCATTTCAACCCAAAGTGAAATAAATATGGGATTCCTGTACACGGGAGTACTTACTAACCAGCGTTTCCTACTATGAGACACGATGCTTACTGCACTGCAGCGCCTCCTTTAGCCACCCGCCAACCCGCAGCTGGGAATGAGGTGCCACGTTCAACTCACGGTCACTTCCACTTGGATGTCGCAACAGAAACAACTTCAAAATTATAATATTGGTTAGAAAAAGCTACGTCTGGAGTATTTTTCCTGTCTAAAGGCACCACTGCTGTTTACCAAGAGCTCTGGGACAGTCACCAGCAAACACCAACACCACATCAACAACGGCCTCAAGTCGCATCAGGGGAGGTTTAGGTCAGATATTAGGAAAAACTTCTTCGCTGAAAGAGTGGTCAGGAGTTGGAACAGGCTGCCCAGGGAAGTGGTGGAGCCACCATCCCTGGAGGTGTTCAAGGAGCGTGTGGACATGGTGCTTGAGGACATGATCTAGTGGGTTTGGTAGTGTTGGGTTGATGGTTGGACTGGATGGTCTTACAGGGCTTTTCCAAC